CCGAGTGGCCTCGTTGAGGATGTGGTCGACTATGAGTCTGACACCTCTTTTCCCGCATAGGATGACGAGGAAGGCGAGCTGTACCAGCAGCGTGATACGATCCCTTCTCGCGTCTTGCGGACCCATGTCCGTTTCCTGACTTTTCGTCATCTGAGGAACGTGGTGTAATCACCAACGACCTCGACGGGGAACAGAGGTGGCAGCTTGAAGCTGCCCATACGGCAGCTCTTTAGCGCGCCCATCCACGGTCAGTTATTGACCCCGTGTGGATTATGGCTTTCGCCCGGCGGATCCTGCTTTGGAAGCGAAGGACGCGGAAACTCTATCGCGCGCGTCCGTATCATCGGGCATCCGGCCATTACGGAAGCTGGGCTTGCCGAACGGAAAGCTCTTCGAGCTCGTTTCTTGGTCCCACAAGAAATTCCGTTAGACGTTTATCGCAGTCGTCTAAGTGCTCAACGAGGTGGCTCTCGTGTACCCGCAAGGCGGACAATACCAGTAATGCTCGCCACTGGCGAAAGCAGTACAGATGACGAAGCGCTTTTTGGGCGATGGCTGCAACGGCACCGAAAATTTTTCTCACTACATAACCTGCAGTTGAGCCACAAGGAAGTGGACGTGCGTGTGGAGCGACACCTTTGCTTTGAGTTTGCCAAACTCAAGGCACGCCGTCGTGTGTAATACAAACCATTGTGCGATTCGCCACTTTCTTACAAGGGTACGAGTAACCCCCTTACAAAAAAGAATATTTTTTTATCACCTAAACCTTAGATTTTTATAGTATTGACGTATCAAATATTACAAAAAAATGTTTCATTGAAATTGAATTTAAGCATTCTAAGGAACAGAATGACTGTCGTGTTAGCAGCAGTCTTGGCGTTTGTATTTGTCACGCTTTTTTTGGAACTTTTATACCGCAGCTGCGAAATCCGAAATAAAATACATTAAAACTTTGAAGTGTGGTGTATATTTTAACAATGTTCTAGTCAATAGCCCTGGAAGTTTGCACGATAAAACACGAAATGAACTGAAGTACGCGCGACTTAACAAATAGATAAACTAAAGCTTGGGGCACCAACGCCAATTATGATCAGCTATCGTGACGCTTTAAAAGTATGCAACGCTTGCGTCCTTCTATTCATTATTTAAATTTTCATCGTAGAATGCGACGGCGTCGACGGCTGTCGCTTGAGCTCTCAAAGCTTTCGCTGATACACGTAACAATTGTGTCACGTGGCTTAAGTGAAACGATCTCGCTAGTCTTCGAGCTCGATCGACGGAATATGCTACTACGGCGCTCCACGATCTCACTGGTCTCCGAATGACGACGTCGGAAAATGCTACTGCGGTGCTTTACCGTCTCACTTGTCTCAGAACGATGACGGCGAAAGATGCTACGGCGGCGCTGGACAATCTCGACGCAGTCATCACCAACGATAGCTCGATGTTTGTTCTTTCGATGAAATAAATTGCACATTTGACTGAGATTATCTGCGCACAAAGACGTATGTTGTGAAATGGCATCCGAGGATAAGCACCACGAAAAAAAAAATAGGCGCATACGTCATCGTATCCGATTTAGTGCATAGTTCAAGCAAACGATTACGGCAATTTTGAGGTATCACGTAATATTTGTACATTCCACATAGTGTGTAGCGCATGTTTTCCCGGCTCTTTACGACGTTTGGTAATGAGGACTTGACACTTTGAATAATTGATTAGATGATTTATAAAGCACATAAATTTACTATGTCAAGAATTATTGTGATGAAGTGTCTATGCTGACAACAAAGTCTGGAGCAAGAAGTCGCTGGTGATCCATTGATCTAAGCGTCTGTTTATGACAATTATGCGGAAGGTTTAATGGCGTCAGTGCACATCTCGTTTGAGATCACGGCCAGATTTAGTAATTTGTTGATTGTCCCGCCTTACACCATTTACAGTAAAATTGTGTGGTACGTCAATTACTGTATAAAAATATCGCGTGATAAGCAAGCTTTCGTAATCATCAAATTTTATTCGTCTGTCCTTCTTGCACAACAAATAATATGAATGGTATCATTTTTTAAACAAAAATTTGTCTAGAGAAATTTTACCAGTTCAGTACGAACTTATGAGGTTATTAGCTTTGTAACGCATCGTGCGGCCACATTACTGGTTCGAATGCATCACAAAACTCATCAAAAAGCGCATTGAGCGAAGTCTCAAGTGCTGCAACTTTAGAGTCTGATGGAAAAACACTGCTATCTTCTTGTGGCTTTGATTTTCTCATCAGCGCTCGAGCTTTGGCAGCTTGAATTTCATGCTGCAAGTGAGCTAACCGACTTGATTTCAGCGCATCAGTATGTCGAGGTTGCTTGACTTGCTTTTGTGGTGGGTGTCTTCTCTTGCTCTTAGTGTTGCGTGATCGTTCTTGCTTCCGAAGATGCTGGAGTCGAGACGAAGATTGAAAATGCGCTTGCCATTCATCGCTAAGAACATATTCAATCTTGTAATCGCCATTATCTTCTTCATCATCATCTATGTCTTGCGGCTCAGCTACCACATCATTGCAGCTAACAGATAACACATCATCGTTCTCTGCTCTTTTTGGTGCATGCCATTGCGCAGTATCGAAAGTTATTGACGTGAGCCACCTATTTTCCTGACGCTGCTGCTGATCGGCAAAGATTCGCGGCCAAGCCTCTGGAAATGGAAAAGGTGGCGGGATGAAGGAGTCCATCTGTTGAAATGTTTTTTTTCTTGTTTAGATTTTTTATATCAGTGCTGAGAAATAGTCCAAAGTCTAAGACAAAGACGCTTTTTTTAAAGTCAATTCTAGTTCTGCAACTTTTTAGATCTTACTTTACACGACAAAATTTCTATCCGAGATCATGTACAATTTAGAGGGTCAAGTATAATCGCATAGAAATAGTCCAGGGAAACATGCGCTATGACAAGAAGTGGTTGCGCTACAATGTGGCGGCGTACTTTAAATTGTATGTTCGAGTAAGCTTGCGAATTAGCGATTGTTATTTTTCTTTGTGCCCATTATGAATTTGATGTTTTTCACTCACAAAGATAGCAATTGATTGTAGCATTAATTAATAAACGTCTCAATTTCTATTCATTTTGCTTTGTTACCAAATATTCCGAGTTCCGGACGATATGTGCACGAAGAGGCAGCGCATAGAGCGTCTAATCCAACGTGGACATTTGCTTGCCAATGTGCAACGTGGTGACGATACAGAAACAGGTATGAAGGCTTGTATGCCTTTGTCGCGTAACTCCATTTGCACTCCAGCAGCACCTTTTCAACCGCGGCGGTCGTCCTGGACTCCCGAAGAGGATGAAAAACTTAAAAAGCTAGTGCATCAATTAGGAAGTTGTAACTGGAGCGAGATTGCGCTGGCGTTTCCATCACGAAACCGCAAACGGTGTCGAGAAAGGTTTGAAAATCACCTTAAACCATCAGTACTAGCATCAGGTACATGGAGTAAGGAGGATGATTTGAAAGTGTTGCAATTACTGCGTACGTTGGGACCGAAGTGGGCTGAAATAGCCAGAAAAATGATTTGTCGAAGCGCAGAAAGTGTTAAGAATCGCTGTCTTCTTTTGGCTAGAAAGGCAGTGTACAACAAGAAAGCACCTTTGCAACGGTGGTCGGCGACCGAAAAGGAAAAACTTCGATCGTTAGTGGCAACACATGGAGCACAAAATTGGCTATTTATCGCTTCGCAATTACCTGGACGCACCGACCTGCAATGTTTACAGCAATGGTCTCGTACTCTGAATGACAAGATAGTGAGAGGGAAAGGAACGTGGACGCAGAACGAAGATCGGATTCTGGTCCAGAAAGTGGCTGAATTTGGGCGGAAATGGACCGCGGTAAGGAGCGAGTTGTGACCGATTCTGTTTGATTTAAAAATTCACTGATGATATTTGATACTTTAGATTGCTGCTTACTTGCCTGGAAGGTTGGGAATTCAGTGTCGCGAACGGTATTTGAATCACTTGGACCCATCGATTAAAACGGTTTGTGGGCTGTGTACATTTTACGATTTATGCTATGTTTCGATAATGACTTTCAAATGATCAGACACCTTGGACGAATGCTGAAGACCAAATTTTGAGTGAAGCCATTGCCAAGCACTCAACACAGTGGGTTTTGATTGCAAAAAAACTGCCAGGACGGTGCGAAAATGCCATTAAAAATCATTGGTATTCTCGCGAAAGGCATCGCATGCTGACACAGAATTTAGAAAATTGTACGGTGTTTGGTAGCAAGGAGGAAGATTAAGTTTTTTTAATTTGGTCATTTAACTAAAACTACGAGACGCGTAATCGACAAAAATTGTTAGCAGCGAAAATGTGTCAATACATAATCTTCAAGATCCTTAGCTACTTAAAATGAGTTATTCAAGATCAACGTGCTGATACCTAGTTTTTATCCATTTATGACTTTGCCTTGACAATTATACAGTTAAAAGTTTGTCTATGTTATTA